CATGACAATCGGACATCGCTTCACTTGACGCTCCGGAGGAAAGGATGTCCCATTGCTCTTAAAACTAATTTCCTGCTTTTCGTGGTTTCCTGAGCCTCATCCCAATACCCCTCCTCGACTACTCTCTTCCCCTCCTCCTGGACTTGACCCAGAAATCGATCAAGACACACCATTTTGAAGGACGTCCCAATAGCTGAAATGCACACGGAGGAGTCGAGGAGGGGTGAGGGAGGAGGGGTGAGGGAGGAGGGGTGCGAGAGGAGACGAAAGGGAGGATACACGAGAGCAGACTACGTGGAAGTGTTTTCACTACTCGCGTATAAAAGCCCCGGCCCCACCTTCACAGCTGGTCCATTTCAACACAGGAAAACGGAGAACTGGAGGGTGAGTGGAAAAGCGTCACATAAATGTATAAGTGCTCACAGCTCCGTGGGAATTATTATGTGCAATTCATTTCTTAAGGTTATACTAACAATTTAAGTCATGTTTAATGATCTTGAACGTCACTAAATGGCTAGATCTTGATAAATAACAATTATTTGTATTGTTTTGATATTCAGGAGTTACATTATTTAAAATGCAGTCCTGAATGTGGGTTTGTGGTGAATGTGGGGATCTACAGGACACACATTTTCAGAGTAAGGCTTTCACATTACTATAATTATATTTGTATTTACATTTTACACCAAAACAGAACACAAAAGCAGGACCAACCATCATACATTGAATTCCTTGACTAACAAGAGAAAGATTAATTCATTTAAATACATATTTAACAACAAATGGGCCAGTTCTAAGGGGTTATTCAGTTAAGCCCGATGAGAGGGGATACAGCTGTGCACATGCCATCATTAACAGACGTTGTTTAAGAGTGACGTTTGAGTGAACGAGGACATCCCAATTAATACCTGAGGACTCCTCTGTCCTCGCGTCACCTCCTCATGTCCCTCGCTCGCATCTTACGGAGGCGGAGCTAAGATGCAAGGAAAGGACGCGAGTGAGGGAAAGGAGGAGTCGAGGAGGGGTATTGGGATGAGGCTCTTGCCTCTCCATGCTTCCCTGGTGGGAGGGACTAGTCGCAGGGAAACGACGCAAATGATGGACGCAAGGAATCCATTTAATCGACCTGGGGCCCTTCTCACTTCGGTTAAATGGATTCCTTGCTTCCCTCACTTGCGTCGTTTCCCTGCGACTAGTCCCTCCCACCAGGGAAGCATGGAGAGACGTAAGGAAACCACGAGAAGCAGGGAAATGAGTTTTAAGAGCAATGGGACGTCCTTTCCTCCGGAGCGTCACGTGAAGCGACGTCCGTTTGTGATGACGCTGCACAGCTGATCGTCTGACAGCAGCTCTGTCCCCGTTCTTTCCACACACACACCCGCCTCTGTTAGTGCACATTTACTGACACAAACATTGTGTCATCTGTTGTAGACCCAAATACATTAAATAAAATAAGAACTAATTCTCAAAAAAGATAAACGCCATTCTTAAAATGTATAAACGAACAATAGTTTGATTAATATTGATTAGAGTGCACAACAGAAATAAAATAATTGAGAGAAGAAAAAGAGATATGTTATCTATCAAAACCCAGTTAGATTAACATTCATTGGATTGCACACTTTGTTTGTTTGTGTGGATATGTAGCACATTAACATTTTAATAGCACTTAATGACTGACTGAATGGAAATGACAATAAATGAAAATGTAAAACGAAAAAAGCGATTATGAAGATGTTTCCAAAAAATGAACAAAATGATTTTTAACCACTTTGTTGGTCAGATATATCACATATTTGTAACTAAATGATACATGAATTGAAACAAAACACGGTATAAACTGAGGAGTGACTCCCGTGAGGTTCATGTATTTTCTTCACTCCGCTGGGAAACTGCTCTCATGTCAAGAAGCATCAGATCAGCGCATGCACTGCCTCGTCCAATCAGTGAGCGATACACAGTAAGGGGGCGGGGCGAGTGTCTGAGGATTTCATGGAAGGATGGTCTGGTGGTTCCTCGGTTATAGCTCCTCCATTATCGCTCCTCGCTCCTCCGGCAGAAATAAGGCCATTGGGACGCTACTCAAGATGGCGCAGACAAATCAACTTCCGGTGAGACCGAGACCGAGGAGCGAGGAAATGAAAAATAAGAGAAGTGAGAAGGGCCCCTGAGAAGGACCCCAGGGCAAATAACTGCAAGTCTCTTCAGTGCTCATGTCACAAAATGAGATGCATTGTGGGACATGTAGTTTATGGGCAATGTGCTTCTGATCCTCTTCTGTACCTTATTTTATTTTAATATTCTTATTATGTTACCTGGCAGGCAGGGGGTAATGAGTCTAAATTGCATTTTTCTTTTTTGTTAAATGTATATTTTATACTTTTGATGCTCAATTAAAAGAAATGTAGCACAAAATAGATTTAAAGACAACAACCTTTTGATTGAACACTTTAGTGTTTCTAACAACAGCCTCTTCCTGTAGCAGAGATGTGAAAAAGGATCACTGTAATGCATCTCTAACGAGAGTCCATGTGTGTTTCCCACTCACTTCTGAGAGCCTTGACGGTGAAGCTGGTCTCGCCGGCCGGGTCGATCTTGAAGCAGGTCTTCTTGCTGAACAGACCGATGTTGATGGTGGTCTCGTTTTGCCGCTCTCGTAACAGACTCTGCATCCAGGACCAGACGCTGAAGCGCTCGAGCTCCTGCAGCTCCTCCTCGCCCTCCGCCATCTGCACCTTGAACACGTTGGAGCTCCACACCTTCACCTGGAGGACACACGCAGGAGGTATTACGGACAGAGCTCCACACCTTCACCTGGAGGACACACGCAGGAGGTATTACGGACAGAGCTCCACACCTTCACCTGGAGGACACACGCAGGAGGTATCACGGACAGAGCTCCACACCTTCACCTAGAGGACACACGCAGGAGGTATTACGGACAGAGCTTCACACCTTCACCTGGAGGACACACGCAGGAGGTATTACGGACAGAGCTTCACACCTTCACCTGGAGGACACACGCAGGAGGTATTACGGACAGAGCTCCACACCTTCACCTGGAGGACACACGCAGGAGGTATCGCGGACAGAGCTTCACACCTTCACCTGGAGGACACACGCAGGAGGTATCACGGACAGAGCTTCACACCTTCACCTGGAGGACATACGCAGGAGGTATTACGGACAGAGCTCCACACCTTCACCTGGAGGACACACGCAGGAAGTATCACGGACAGAGCTTCACACCTTCACCTGGAGGACACACGGAGGAGGTATCACAGACAGAGCTCCACACCTTCACCTGGAGGACACACGCAGGAGGTATCACGGACAGAGCTCCACACCTTCACCTGGAGGACACACGCAGGAGGTATTACGGACAGAGCTCCACACCTTCACCTGGAGGACACACGCAGGAGGTATCACGGACAGAGCTTCACTGTAAGGACTTTATTCTGTGAGGTGAGGAAAGGCTGTGAGACACTGATGAGACAGATCCTAAAGAAGGTGTTATGGAGCTGATCCTCATTTTAATAATCCATTCCTTGCTCAATTCATGTATTTATAATATCCTGCTTTATATAATTTGTTACTGTAAATGTGTATTTCCACATGTCTATTTTCCACATGTATATTCTTTTACTTTTTAATGCTATTTTATTTATATTTCAGAAATATTTTTGGATTGTTTATTTCTAGTGTTTTATTTTCTCTAATGTATTGCCTTGTCTTTTTATGCTGCTGCAAGTAAACAAAAAAGTGCTAAAATAAACATTTTAGATTCTTTAAATGAGCCCCCTTTTGCCTCGATGACAGCTTTGCACACTCTTGGCTTCTCTACATAAATATAAGTATATAATATATATAAAATAATGTATTATATTACATTATTGGCTCTGCATTGGATTATTATCAGTTCTGGAAATAACTTCATAATTAACTACGTCTGAAAGCAGAAGTCTCTGGCAAATAAATGACAGCAAATATTCAACAATTACACCAATTGAGTTGTATAGTATATTCTTTGCACGCTCTTGCGGGGCCACATAACATGAGGTCACGGGAGTTTGACACCCCTGATTTAAACCGATATAAAAATATGCCAGATATGTGTGTCATGCCCTGGCTCAAGGACGGACAAAGGAAGGAGATCACACATGATTCATCCAATTGAAGTGCATTTATTTAAAGAAACTAAATTAACTATGAAGTCAGTTAATCAGTAATGTGTGTAGTGTGTGGGTGTGTGAACATGCATCAGTATATAACGAAAGAACAACCAAACCAAGGTCCAGTAGAGCCAAGCAACCCAAGAGGAGATAGAGACTGACTGCTCAGGCACCCATACTTGTAGCTGAGCAGTCAGCCCAAATCAGGTGTCAGCAATCTCTCCTGATTTGGGGAGTGGCTAACCAGGGACCTGAGTCTAAGGCCTAGGGGCCGTCACATGTATTTAACATGCACAGAATCAAGGGAACGTGGTTTCTCTGTGTTTGGCGGTGCAGAAAGTTGAAGGTGTTCTGGGCGGAGGTACGAGGTGAAATAAAGAAGATAATTCAAAGCAGATTTGATCCAACGATCTGTTGGGTTTATATCCAGGAGAGCATGAACATAGAGAGTCCTCAGCTCGTTCACATAAAGCCACAAAACTGATCATTATTTTCTGTATCATTTTGTATTTGTATTTATTTTCTAAAACAGATACAACATATTGAATATATTTTATTTGTATTTCTTTAAAAAAACACATTTAAAAAGCTATACCTAAGAGAACAAGATTATTATGAATAAACAATTAATAAGGCAAGTTTATTTATATAGCACCTTTCAACACAAGGCAATCCAAAGTGAAAAAATGAAAGACATTAAGAAAATATGTAAACATAAAGTATTTTATATGTGTACAAATTGGCACCAACATTGACTTTGATGCATTTTTTACATGTATTATTTATTCTTCACAGTGTGTAATTCATCAATGATTAGCAAGAATACTGTTTTTAGTTTTTGAGCATTTTTATTTGTTGTGAAAAACACCAAGAAACTCAAGTCTCAATCTGGTGGAAAACAGCCAGGAAACAGTTTGGGAGGGAGAAGCTTTCTGTTCCAGCATGACTGAGCCCCACAAAGCAGCTCCATCAAGGCCTGGGTGGATGAGTTTGGTGTGGAAGAACTTGACCTCAACCCACTGAACACCTTTGGGATGAACTAGAACGGAGAGCCAGCCTCTCGTCCAACACCAGTGTCTGACCTCACTAATGCTCTTCTGGATGAAAGGGCTTCCCACAGACACACTCCAAGATCTGTAGAAAGCCTTCCCAGAAGAGTGGAAGCTGTTATAGCTGCAAAGGGGGACCAAGTTCAAATGAAAGCCTAAGAGTTTGGAATGGGATGTCCTGAAAGCTCCTGTAGGTGTGATCAGAATCAGAATCCCTTTATTAGTCCCAGAGGAGAGATGTACATTGTTACAGCAGAAAGAGCCAGAGACAGCTTCATGTTCCCTAAAGCATGCAGACAACAAAGTATTAAAGATTAAAACAAGAAATTATAATTTAAAAAAAGTTACACATTTTACAAAATACACATGCTGTACCAGTTCTGAGGATTTAACAGCCAGGTATATATTGCATAGTTTTAACGGCATATATATATATGTATATATTGCACATAGTTGGTATTTAACAACAAGGGGTGTTATAGTCTGTGTTGTTGTGTGGGGGGTCTACTAGGGGTCGTGGTGGTTATATAGTCTGACCGCTGCAGGAAGGAAGGACCTGCGGTATCTCTCTAATGTGCAGGTGGTCCAATACTTTTGTCTATATTGTGTATAATTGAGTATCATCCGCATAACAATGAAAATGTCCAGAGTGATTCCTTATTGCCTAAAGGAAGCGTATATAATGTGAACACAATAGGTCTGAGCTCTGAGCCCTTATGCTTTGCTGCGGCAACACTGGCTGGATTCAATCAAACAGAACTCTAAACACATTTTCAGCTCTGCACACAATCTGCAATTCAACTCTGCACTTTCTAAAACCCTGCACACGGCTCTCTGAGTAACACACAGAGATCTGACATATCCACCTGGCAGCCATTTTCAAAACACTGCCATTAAACATGCTACATATGAGCCAATGAACAGATACACATGCCAGCTGACCGTTACCGCCTGGCTGCTGTACTGCTGACTCAGCAATCAGGATATAAGGACAAACAACAACATCCTGTTTATGAAATACACAAGAAAAGAAAGAAGAGTTAAGTCGTTGATTCAGGAGAAAAGCACTCTGATAGAAAGTCAGAAGCATTTGATTAAAATAAATGTAAATAAAATGTCCAAAGAAAGTATTCAGAGTAATTCTTATTACAGTTTTATAATTGTTTTATATATTCCTCAAATGATCTGCTTTGACTGCAGCTGGAGAAACTTCTGGATTCAGTCTGAAAGCATCCTTTTTTAACTTTAAACATGATCTTTAATAATGTTGTAGTTTAGTTGAACTCTGAGAGGTCGACTGGCTGGACTCCTCACTGGGACTCTGGTTCTGGACCAGCTTGCAGGGTCCAGGAGTTCTTGGAGAGAAGGAGCGCTTCCTGCCGCAGGACTCGGGGGATGGGAGTTCCTGAACATGGAGAAACAGCTTCAGTTATTATGCTCCAAATATCTGGAACAAAGTCACAGAAAGAATGTGTCTGCAGCTCAGAGAGTCCTGCTGGGAACCCACACATGTTGAGGAGCCCAAAGTGTGATGATAGACATGTACAGTACGGGTCCCCAGCACATAGAAGCTGCCGGATGCTAACCTGCATATGTTGGGAGAGCTTTACAGACCAGGAGAGGAACTGAGTACATTTACTCAAGTACTGTACTTAAGTACAATGTTAAGGTACTTGTACTTTACCTGAGTATTTCCATTTGATGCTACTGTGTACTTCTACACTTCTACTCCACTACAGTTCAGAGGTACATGGTGTACTTTTCCTCCACTACATGTATACCTTTAGTTACTTCACAGATGTGGATGAATGATGTGAAATATAACCAAGTGTTGAATCAGACTTTAGTTCCACCTGGAGTAAATCCACCAGCTACCCTGCAGTATACAAAGTCATTCAAACTAGCTGCACCTTCACCAGCTTTGAGAACACTTTCATGATCAATCATTATAAAACATATCATATATATTATTCTGAAATGGACCAATCTGCACAACGACTACTTTTACTGTCGTTACTAGATCTGAGTACTTCTACTTTTACTCAAGTAAAATATCTGAGTACTTCTACTTGTACTGAAGTATATTTTGAGGGTAATACTGTAACGGACTGGTTATAATGTTGATGTTTTCATGTGTTTTATTCTTCAGAGTTTATTTACATTTTACAGAGTGTCAGTGAACGCGTCACTGTGTTGATAGACAGTTCTTGTGAAGAGAAACAGCCAAAATGATGAAGAGAGAGAAACCAGAGTGTTGTTTTCCTCTGAGGACGTGCTCCATCAAAGAGTCTCATATCTGGATGAATGGAGGATATTCAGTACTCACAGGTCTTCTGGATCTTGGCTCTGATCGTCTCATCATCTCTGATCCTGTAGGGATGAACACAATCCAACAGTTATGATCCAGTTTAAAATAAGTGTTTGTTCTTTGAGTCAGCTTCAGAGTCCTGATCTCATGCTTTACATCCCATCATATCTTCTCTGCAAACACTACGACTGACTGCCACAGCTCTCAGCTGCATGACAGGAAGTAACAGCCATTAGTCAAGGAACTAAAAACATCCCATCAAACACAGACTACCTTTTCCACTCTTCTGTCAAACCCCATATGTCTGCTGGAAAGTTGATTACTTAATGAAGCTCAGCGCAAATTCAACCAGGAAGACCGTCTTTACTCTTCATGTATTTCTATTCCCATGCTACTCTCTCTCCTCTCAATAAGTGACCGGGGGCGTCACTCTGCCAGCCAACTTCCTGACTCCACTGCTGTATTTTCTGTTTTCTGCTTGAATAAAGCTTTTTGTTTATTGACCATTTCTCTCCAGTCTTTTGCTTTGGGGTCCAAAATTATATAGGCCGTAACAGAATTATCTGGCCAAAGCATGGACCCCGCAGAGACTGAGAAATTGAGGCAAGCTCTTTCGACACAGGGAGCTCGTGTGGGGCAGCACGAACAAGCTCTACAAGGTATCATGGAATCCCTCCACAACCTTACTGCCGGTTTCACTCAACTCAGCGGCCGCTTGGACCAGTCTTTCATCCAGCTCAACACGCTGACGGCTCCAGCTCCTGCGCCACCGCCCCCACCTCCTGAGATTCCAGTCATTCATCCCGGCCAACCCCGTGAACCATTCATCCCCACCCCTGTGAGGTATTCAGGTGATTCAGGGACATGCAGTCAGTTTCTTCACCAGTGCTCCATAGTTTTTGATCAGCAGCCTTTAACTTACTCCTCTGACAGAACTAGAGTAGCTTTCATTATGAGTTTGTTATCGGGTAAAGCAGCTGCATGGGCGGTAGCCATAGCCAAGAGTAACCCAGCTATCTATAACTCTTTTCCTGTGTTTGAGACCGAGATGTATCAAGTTTTTGACCACCCGCTTCAGGGTAAGGAGGCCGGTAATCGGCTCCTTTCTTTACGCCAGGGTTCTGAGTCAGTCTCCACTTACTCAATTGATTTCCGCATTCTCGCAGCAGAGAGCGGGTGGGATGAGACGGCTCTACAGATAGCTTTTTCCCGTGAATTAAACGACCAGTTAAAGGACGAGCTAGCTGCTCGAGATGAGACTTCGTCCCTTGAGGAGTTAATTTCTTTGGCCATTCGCTTAGATAATCGCCTCCGTGAGAGGCGTAGGGAGAGAACAGACAGGCAGAGATTCCCTCTCCCCTTTTCCCAACCCAAGTCACCACGTCCGCCTGGACAGTCTGCACCTCCTCACCAACGCTTCGGGCCTTTCTCCCTACCGGGACCCACCCACCGTCTCCTCATCCCTAAGCCCAGAGAGCCTATGCAGCTGGGGAGAATGAGGCTTTCACTTGCGGAACGGGAACGCCGTTTCCCTCCAGAGGCTCTGCATATACTGTGGTCAGGCTGGCACATTCGAGCCAAACTGTTCCGCTCTGCCAAAAGAGCAGGCTCAGCAGCCGGGGGAGGGGCGCTGGTGAGCCATACTTCTGTCTCCCCTTCCCACGCTAATCGTCTCCTGTTAAAGGGTACGGTTTCTAGTTCACAAGTTTCCCTTCCCCTTCAAGTCTTAGTTGATTCAGGGGCTGATGAAAATGTTATTGACTCTGACCTGGTTTTCCAGTCTAATCTCCCCTCAGAACTCCTGCCCGAGCCCAAGAACATTTTTTCCCTTGATGGTAGGCTTCTTGCCCGTGTAACTCACCGTACTGCCCCCGTGTCATTGTTACTCTCAGGTAATCATCACGAGACCATTTCCCTTTATCTCATTCCCTCACCCCTTTCTCCGCTGGTGTTAGGTCTCCCCTGGCTTAAACTCCACAACCCACACATAGACTGGGCCACCTTATCCATCGTCAATTGGAGTTTGTTCTGCCACTCTCACTGCTTACACTCTGCCATACCCACCACTGTTACTTCAAAACCTGTTCCCCCCCAGACCTGTTGACCTCACGTCAGTTCCCTCTGAGTATCATGACCTCCAGGAGGTTTTCAGCAAGGATCGTGCCCTGTCTCTCCCACCTCATCGACCTTATGACTGTGGCATTGACTTGCTCCCCGGTGCTCCCTTGCCTTCGAGCAGACTTTATAATATCTCCAAGCCGGAGAGGGAGGCCATGGAGACTTATATCACTGACTCTGTTGCTACTGGTCTCATTCGCCCTTCTCGCTCTCCATTGGGGGCAGGGGTTTTTTTTGTTGACAAAAAGGATAAGACTCTACGCCCCTGTATTGATTTCAGGGGCTTGAATGACATTACTGTAAATAATAAGTATCCTCTTCCGCTCATAGACTCAGCTTTTGGTTTCCTCTATCAAGCCACCATCTTCTCTAAGTTGGACCTCCGAAATGCCTACCACCTAGTTAGGATAAGGGTGGGAGACGAGTGGAAGACTGCGTTTAAGACGCCCCTGGGACATTTTGAATAGTTAGTTATGCCTTTTGGGTTAACTAACGCCCCTGCTGTGTTTCAGGCACTCATTAACGATGTCCTTCGTGATATGCTTAACAGATTTGTCTTTGTGTATCTTGATGATATCCTCATTTTCTCTCGTGACCCCCAAGAACATGTCCAACACATGAGGTTGGTGCTGCAGAGACTTCTGGAGAACAGACTTTATGTTAAGGCTGAGAAGTGTGCCTTTCATGTTTCCTCTGTTTAATTCCTGGGTTTTGTGGTAGAGAAGGGACAGGTCAGAGCCGACACTGCCAAAGTCATGGCAGTGGCCGAATGGCCCACTCCTACAACGAGAAAGCAACTCCAAAGGTTTCTTGGTTTTGCCAACTTTTACCGCAGGTTTATTCGTGACTATAGTCGAGCAGCCGCCCCACTCACCAAGCTCACCTCAGTTAAAGTTCCCTTTGTGTGGTCATCTGAAGCTGAGGCTGCTTTTGCTATGTTGAAGTGTTTGTTTTCCTCTGCTCCTGTGTTATCTCACCCTGATTCTTCAGCCCCTTTTGTGGTCGAAGTGGATGCCTCCGACACTGGTGTAGGGGCAGTCCTCTCCCACCGCTCAGCCTCCGACCAGAAGTTGCATCCCTGCGCCTTCTTTTCCCGCCGGCTCTCCCCGGCAGAAAGAAACTATGATGTGGGAAATCGGGAGCTTCTGGCAGTAGTCTTAGCCCTGCAGGCATGGAGGCACTGGCTTGAAGGCACAACTCATCCGTTTGTGGTATGGACGGACCACAGAAACTTAGCTTATCTCCGTTCTGCTCGCAGGCTCAACTCTCGCCAGGCTCGATGGGCACTTTTTCTGGGCCGGTTCAGCTTCACCCTCACCTATCGGCCAGGCTCACGGAACATCAAGGCAGATGCCCTGTCACGTCAGTTCGCTCCTCCGGTTGAGGAGCCATCCGCGGGAACCATTCTTCCATCCTCCTGTGTGGTGGGAGTAGCCAGGTGGGAGGTTGAGAGGGTGGTCCAGGAGGCACAAGAGGACCATCCAGCTCCTGAGGATTGTCCACCGGGTCGGCTGTTCGTTCCACCGCACGCCAGATCTTCAGTGCTCCAGTGGGGACATGATTCTAAGGTAGCTTGCCATCCAGGAGCACTTCGGACTCTAGGCCTCCTCCAACAACGCTTCTGGTGGCCCTCCATGTCCTCTGACGCCAAGAAGTATGTCGCCGCCTGCTCCATCTGCGCCCGCAGTAAGGCATCCCACCGCGCCCCTGCTGGTCTTCTCCGCCCTCTTCCCATTCCTCATCGGCCTTGGTCTCACATCGCCATGGACTTCGTGACGGGTCTTCCCCCATCGGAAGGAAATACAGTTATCCTGACGATTGTTGACCGCTTTTCCAAGGCCGTACACTTCGTTCCCCTACCTAAGTTACCTTCTGCTCTGGAGACTGCTACACTAATCACCCAGCATGTTTTTAGATTGCATGGCATTCCTCTGGACATTGTTTCTGACAGGGGTCCGCAATTTGCCTCTCGAGTCTGGAAAGCCTTTTGCCAGGCATTGGGGGCGTCGGCCAGTCTGTCATCAGGTTACCACCCGTAGACCAACGGCCAGACTGAGCGTGCGAATCAGGACCTGGAGGCAGCCCTTCGCTGTGTCTCTTCTCACCATCCAGTCTCCTGGGCCTCCCACCTGCCTTGGGTTGAATATGCCCACAACTCCCTGGTTTGCTCCGCCACAGGAATGTCTCCATTCATGGCTTCTGTTGGGTTCCAACCCCCTCTCTTCCCCACCCAGGAGAGGGATGTGGCAGTCCCCTCAGTACAGGGGCATCTTCGGCGGGCCCGCAGAGTCTGGCATGAAGCTCGGGCAGCTCTCGTTCGCACTGCTGCTCGCAACCAGAGGCTTGCAGACCGCCATCGCACTCCAGCCCCGGACTACCAGCCCGGTCAGAAGGTCTGTCTGTCCTCCCGTGATCTGCCACTCCAGACTGACTCCCGCAAACTGGCACCCAGGTACATTGGCCCGTTTGTCATTGAACGGATTAATAACCCCCGCTGTGGTTAGGCTCAAGCTGCCTGCTGCCTTGAATGTCCACCCAGCATTTCATGTCTCACTGCTCAAACCAGTTCCTCCAGTCCTCTGAGCCCTCCGGCCGAGCCCCCTCCTCCCCCCCAGAGTATTGACAATCATCCTGCTTTCACCGTCCAGCGGTTGTTGGATGTACGAAGGCGAGTGCCGGGGTTTCCAGTACTTGGTGGATTGGGAGGGGTACGGACTAGAGGAGCGTCAATGGGTCTCCTGCTCCCTGATTTTGGACCCTGCTCTCCTTAGGGACTTTTATGAGAGGTACCCGGACAGGCCTGGTAGGACGCCAGGAGGCGTCCATTGAGGGGGGGGGTACTGTTATGATTCTGTTTAGTTTTATTTTTGTTGTGTGCTTTTGTGTGCTTTTTCCTGTCTCACCCCTCTCTTCTCTGTGTTCCTCTGCAGGGCTGGCGTGTGACAGGGAGTTGGCTGGCTCCTCCCAGGAGCAGACGAGGCACACCTGTTTCCACTCACCTCTTCACCTGTAGATTTATAAGCCCGGTCCTCATGCCACTTCCCTGCCAGATAATTCCTCTGTGTTTCGACCCTCCGGTGTGTCTCGCTGCTCTCCTCGTCGTTTGGATTAAGTGTTTGGATTTTTGCCTCCTGTCCCTGACGACTCAGTGCCAGCCAACTTCCTGACTCCACTGCCGTATTTTCTGTTTTCTGCTTGAATAAAGCTTTTTGTTTATTGACCATCTCTCTCCAGTCTTTTGCTTTGGGGTCCAAAATTCTATAGGCCGTAACACTGTCCCTCTGATTCCAGGGTCAAGCTAAGCCCCTCCCATTCAGACCGACCCCAACTATCCATTCACCACCACCAGGGTCAAGCTAAGCCCCTCCCCTTCAGACCGATCCCAACTATCCATTCACCACCACCAGGGTCAAGCTAAGCTCCTCCCCTTCAGACCGACCCCAACTATCCATTCACCACCACCAGGGTCAAGCTAAGCCCCTCCCCTCCAGACCGACCCCAACTATCCATTCACCACCACCAGGGTCAAGCTAAGCCCCTCCCCTTCAGACTGACCCCAACTATCCATTCACCACCACCAGGGTCAAGCTAAGCCCCTTGTTGAGATCATAGTATGAAGTGAATACTTAAAAACGAAAGTTAATTATAAATCATATATGATCAATCATATTCTTGTATAAACCCATAATGAGAATGCTTCTTGACGGTTTTTTGAATATGTAGCCTATGTATGCTTACAATTTTTTTCTGTTGCTATTTGATAACTTTGCGTTTTGAAAAGAGGGTGTTGTGAGTTTTCATAGTATGTTTAATACTTAAAACGAAAGTTAGTTATAATCAAATATAATCAATTATATTTTTGTATAACCCACAATGAAAAATACTTCATATTTTAGGTTTTTCTATAGTCACAGTATAAACAAAACCAAGTGGTTTGTTAAGTTGAGTGTACAGCCTAAAAAGAGTTATGGGTGTTTTGGATAAGAGATAGGCCGTTTTCTCCCTCTCCTCTGGCAGCAGTTCACAGGGAGGGGGGCTCCAAGCTTAAGGAGAAACACATTAGAGGCCTAAAGGGGTCATGTCCTTTTTACACTAACATGGGAAGGTGTGTCTTATGCCATAAGATATGGAACATGTCGGGTCATGTCCAGCCTTGTACATTAGAGGGCATGCCCAGTTTTCCACAAATTGGGTGTAGAGGAGGAGTTTGTTTTTTGGGGGTTTCGATCCAGTTTTTTGAGCATAAAGAGACTGGTTTTTTGAGAGAGCGCGAGAGAGAGGGGGGGGAAACCCCTGGTAGACTCTCTCCCGGTAGGCTGTGTCCTTCAGAGCTGGGTTAATAGCTCTCGGTAAGGTCCTCACACACGTGGTAAATATCTCTCAAATTTCTTGGTTGTTGGCTGAGTGGAATGATTTGATGAGAGATGTGTTTGTGAATATTATAACCCGCCACCTGTGAGGAATCTTCCTCCGAATTAATGCGGATAGGAATGGGTTTTTGAATGTTAAATCCGCCGTCTGTGTCGGAAAAAGTGTATGAATATTATAACCCGCGACCTGTGAGGAATCTTCCTCCGAATTAATGCGGATAGGAACGGGTTTTTGAATGTTATACCCGCCGTCTGTGTCGGAAAAAAAGGTATGAAACTGATGTGAATTGATTTGGTGAATGAAAAGTTGAATGCGCTTTTTATTGTCACCGGCCTTTTTATGAGGAAATACCTCTAAATTCTATCGGGAGATTTTAAAATGTCACAACTGAATTGGGCAGTTGAAATTAAAACATTTTGGTAATAAATGTAAGACTGTGAATTAAAGTTTCATATTTGAACATGATCACAGCACCATTTTTTTAGTATGATTATAATGTTGTAAAGAGAGAAGGTAAAAACCCTGTATTAGTTTGGACCTATTTTTCTTCAAATAAACTGATCCCACCTTTTGGACTGGGATAATTTAAAAGACAACCTGTGCACTCCTCTCCTGCTTCAAAGGTAAGATTGCACCCTGCCACTCACACTTAGGTAGGAGCACACTCCATTTACTGATATCAAAATCCTTCGGGATCCCTTAAACATATTAAAAAAGAGTTGTCTGAATTGAAACAGCAGTTAATTTAACCTAGGTTCTTCGGGGAGTTATAGAGGTGAGATCTTGCTGACGTTGGTGGATCTGAGCCAAGCAGCAACCTTACATAGACTCAATAACTTCGGAAAGGTCAATTAGTAGGTCAGAGTAATTTACCGGAATAAATTATGAGGACCTCTCCGACTCTAAACACCCTCCCCTTCAGACCGACCCCAACTATCCATTCACCACCACCAGGGTCAAGCTAAGCCCCTCCCCTTCAGACCGACCCCAACTATCCATTCACCACCACCAGTGTCTAGACCCCAGGGGGGTTTCATCGGATCGGCTCTACCCTCCCGAATGATTACAGCCCTTCCCGGGGCCTAATCACCAAAATTACCATTACATTCATTTGTGCATCTGCGCAATAAATATGTATTATTACATCAAAAGCTCTCCTGATTGAACTAAACGTGGCTTTGCATTTCCAGCTGGCCTTCTCTAGTTGATGGAAGAATGAGAGAGCCTGCAGTCAGTGGGTAACATCACTGATCTGTTTCCCCAGTGAGAGAAACACCTCCCTGTGTTTCATACAATACTGCTGAACCAGCAGAGACCCCTTACTGACCTGAGGGTCTCCAGTCTGCAGTCTGGACTCTCCAGAAGATCTCTCAGCAGCTCCACTCCTGAATCCTGCAGAGCGTTCTCTCTCAGGTCCAGATCTCTCAGATGGATGTTGGACTTCAGAGCTGAGGCCAGAGCAGAACAGCTGATCTCTGACAAACTGCAGCTCCTCAGACTGAATAAAGAAAACATGATGAGGATAAGTATCTGTTTATAATCCAATCAGATGTTTCTCAACATTTAAATGAATCTGAACAGAAACATCTGTCTACTTCAGAAAGTGAACTTTATCATGTGAAACTAAAGTTACTTCAGATGACCTTTATTCAGACGTTATCGTTTACTAAATATTAAATACAGAGATTTACTTTTTACTACTAACATCTATTACAGTTCCTTTAAGAAACAGTCAACATGTATGTCTGCAGTTCTTACTTCTTACTCTTAAAAATGAAAAATGAATAAAAGGAGATTTACAAACTCTATGGATGAAGTTATTAATGAATATAAATGAGGTTCAGTTACAAAGTGAACATGTGAGATCTCCAGCAGTAACAGAGAGTCAGTGAACTGACCTGAGAGTCTCCAGTCTGCAGTCTGGACTCTCCAGAAGATCTCTCAGCAGCTCCACATCTGAATCCTGCAGAGCGTTCTCACTCAGGTCCAGATCTCTCAGATGGATGTTGGACTTCAGAGCTGAGATCAGAGCAGAACAGCTGATCTCTGACAACCTGCAGCCCCTCAGTCTGAATAAAGAAAACATGATGAGGATAAACATCTGTTTATAATCCAATCAGATGTTTCTCAAATAAATAAAAATAATTACAAAAACAAGAAAATGAAATAACCATAAAAAAGTCAAATCAAAGCAACATTCTTTCAGTCACAGTTTCTCACAAATACTGAAACATGAAACCAGAACACAATCACAAGTCACCTTCATACCGTCTAATTACGCTTTCTTTATACATTTTCTTAAACATGAAAATGTTCTTACAGCCGTTTAAATCATTCGGCAAAGAATTCCACTTCTTTACTCCAGAGACACATCTGCTTTAAAGCAGGACGTGCAAACGTGCGGTCACCACTAGATGCACTTTAACACAGGGGTATCCTCGCCTGCACGCTATGTATCCGTGCTGCTATGTTGTTTTGCCATGTCATAAATACTTGTGTATTCTGCTCTTGCTCTTTTGCACTTTTCTTGTATTTCGTGTATTTGTATCTGCTATGTTTGGTCATGTTCTTAATGTTTGATGTGAGGGACTGCGGATGGAAAGTAGCTCAAAGCTAAATCCGGCATATTTACGCTTGGTACATTCATTGTTTTAAGTGTTCATTAAAGTGCAATGTCCCTACCAAATAAACCATTACAGCTAATAAACAAGCTGATGCTTAGAATGTAATCTCCTGCTATGATGCTCATCCTCTGAGTTTAAACTAATGTGTTTTGTATATTTTTCTGGCAGTATTCTGTTGTTTGCTTTATGCATAACTAAAGCCGTCTTGTAATTCTATTAAACCTTTAAAAGTGAACAGCCTTGACTCAATAAACTGTTTGTTCTCTAGGTTGTACATTATGCAACATTCTCACAGCTTTTCTCTGTACTGTAATGAAAGGTTTTAAATGACTCATCTAGGTGTATCTATGAGTATATGAGTCAGCTGCATTCTCTCTCTCTCTAATCTCTCTCGCGCAACCGCGAACGAGCGCGCGCGCAACGCGCGCGCGCGCGCGCGGCGCGCGCGCAACCGGCGCAACCGCGCGCGCAACCGCGAGCGCGCGGCGCGCGCGCGCGGCGCGCAACGCGCGCTCGCCTCTCTCACTCTATCAACCTCTCAACCTCTCTCTCTCTCTCTCTCAAACATCCAACCTCCTCTCTCTCTCTCTCTCAACCTCTCTCTCAACCTCTCTCTCTCAACCTCTCTCTCTCAACCTCTCTCTCTCAACCTCTCTTCTCTCTCTCTCTCTCTCGCTCAACCTCTCTCTCTCTCTCTCTCTCTCACCCTCTCTCTCTCAACCTCTCTCTCTCCCCCTCGCTCAACCTCTCCTGGGGGGGGGGGCCGCCCTGATCAAATGAGAAAGAAGAAAAACTCAACATGTATGTCTGCAGTTTTTACTCTTAAAAATGAAACATGAATAAAAGGACATTTACAACTCTATGGATGTTAGTTATTAACGAATATAAATGAGGTTCAGTTACAAAGTGAACATGTGAGATCTCCAGCAGTAACAGAGAGTCAGTGAACTGACCTGAGAGTCTCCCAGTCTGCAGTCTGGACTCTCCAGAAGATCTCTCAGCAGCTCCACTCCTGAATCCTGCAGAGCGTTTCTCACTCAGCTCCAGATCTCTCAGATGGAGGTTGGACTTCAGAGCTGAGATCAGAGCAGAACAGCTGATCTCTGACAACCTGCAGCGCTTCAGTCTGAAGAAAGAAACCATGATGTAAGTTTAGAAAACAAAGTTCCTGTTTGAAATAACTCCAGGTTTAATAATCTGTTCAGAGGTCCAAACAGGGTTTTAATGTCAGAGATGATGCAGAAACAATCCACTGATAATCTGGAACTCTAACTTTGATCAGATGTTGAACAACTCCTTCCTCTCCCTCACAGCTCCTCAGTACTGACAGCATCTCCACTGACTCCTGGAGCACAGGGTGAGTCTGTGGAAGCTCAAAACTCTCTCCCTCACACATTCACCTTCTCTCTGTTACTATGATCAATATTCAGTCATTAGCAGAAACGGAAACAAATAAAAATAACATTGTATTTGTTCAAATTCAGAAAATCATAAACACAAACAGATCAATATGAACTGCAGTCAGTGAACTTGACCTGAGAGCCTCCAGTCTGCAGTTTGGACTCTTTAGTCCAGAAATCAGACGCTCCACTCCTGAATCCTGCAGAGGGATGTGACTCAGCTCCAGATCTCTCAGATGGGAGGGGTCAGACTTCAGAGCTGAGGCCACGACTTCACAGTCAGTCTCTGTGATTATCCAGCCAGCAAGTCTATAATAAAACATATATTACAACATTGTGTTAAAAAGAGAGGAAAACATTATATTAACCTCAAGCATTTGATGAAAAAAGATTGTGACATGTTCTGATAGACCTTTGCTGTTGGTCCATTTAATAATATATAATAATATATGATAATAGAGTGTAATGAGTAGTCAGTGTGATCTGATCTCATGTCTGTGCTCCTGCTGTCACTGACTGTTACCAAAAGAAACAGAAATTAAATGAACCACTTGACGATATTAGAGATGTACATATTTAAATGTTAGTTAATATTTGGATGTGAATGATGGTATGAAGGATGGTTTTGGCTTCTCTGAGCTTTCTGAACATTTATTGCGCACACAAACACAATTAACAAACCAATACAGTTTCAGTATGTCAACTTGATACCATCAGATTGTTCCCAGTATATCAGCATTAAGACATAACTCTGTTATTGGGGGGGAAATTATATAGATCTGATTTTAACTCGAACACATCGTGATCAAAACATGTCGGTGATAAAGACGTGAAATCCTTTTGAACAGCGTTCGTTACAATATGATTTTACTCAAATAGCATTTATTCAGATTCTTCAAGTGAGGAGTTATCTTTCCGACATTTCAAAAAGAGTTCAAACGGGAGAGACGTGATGTATGAAATACATGTTTATTACCGGACACGTGGTATAGAAAATTATGATTGACAGATTACAACAATGAATCAACTGATGTTTGGAGATTAGGCCCCGGTTTGTAGGATAATCATTCGGGAGGGGAAAACCGCTCCGATGAATCCCCGGGGGCTAGACACTGGTGGTGGTGATAAGTGGTTCGGTCTGGTCTGGAGGAAGAAGGATTAGCTTGGCCCTGAATTAGGAGACACGAGGCAAAGGGGTGGAGGCGGGTTGTGCGTTGACACCAGAAATGACAACTGACAGAGAGGGAAGAGCAGATTTAAAGGGTTTAGCAGGTGCAATGATTGCTAGCTAGGGAGTACCGCCCCTGATTACTTAATGAAAGAGGAGCTTGCAGTGACGTGTAACACCAGGGGTATGGTCTTCCTTCTTGAACTTGCGCTAAGCTTCATTTCAAACAGGAGAGACGTGATGTATGAAATACATGTTTATTACCGGACACGTGGTATAGAAAATTATGATGACAGATTACAACAATTAATCAACTGATGTTTGGAGATTAGGCCCCGGTTTGTAGGATAATCATTCGGGAGGGGAAAACCGCTCCGATGAACCCCCAAAGAGAAGAGAAGTGAGAAGTGCTGAGATGTGAAGCATTTATTACCTTGCTGGCTGATTGAGGAGATCTGTGGATGAAATGAGATAACACGGGGACATGATGAGAATGTCGGAATAACTGTAGGGTTAATGTGAACGCCAACCATGCTTAGCGCCTGCATGTTGGATTAGACGATGCTGACCCACTGGCCGCAACCTGCACGCGCAGGGTTAAACATGACGCTGACCCACCGGCCGCAACCTGCACGCGCAGGGTTAAACATGACGCTGACCCGCTGGCCGCAACCTGTACGCACAGGGTTAAACAAAAGCTGACCCATAGGCCGCAACCTGTACACACAGGGTTAAACAAAAGCTGACCCATAGGCCGCAACCTGTACACATAGGGTTAAACAAAAGCTGACCCATAGGCCGCAACCTGCACACGCAGGGTTAAACAAAAGCTGACCCATAGGCCGCAACCTGTACACACAGGGTTAAACAAAATGCTGACCCATAGGCCGCAACCTGTACACACAGGGTTAAACAAAATGCTGACCCATAGGCCACAACCTGCACACACAGGGTTAAACAAAAGCTGACCCATAGGCCACAACCTGCACATGCAGGGTTAAACAAAAGCTGACCCATAGGCCGCAACCTGTACCCACAGGGTTAAACAAAATGCTGACCCATAGGCCGCAACCTGTACACACAGGGTTAAACAAAAGCTGACACATAGGCCGCAACCTGTACACACAGGGTTAAACAAAATGCTGACCCATAGGCCGCAACCTGTACACACAGGGTTAAACAAAATGCTGACCCATAGGCCGCAACCTGTACACACAGGGTTAAACAAAAGCTGACCCATAGGCCGCAACCTGTACACACAGGGTTAAACAAAATGCTGACCCATAGGCCGCAACCTGTACACACAGGGTAAAACATGACACTGACCTACTGGCCCTGCACGTGCAGGGTTTAAACATAATGCGGACCCACTGGCCGCAACCTGCGCGGCAGGATTCAATACAATGCGAACCCGAAGGTCACAACGATATGAAGTGTTTAAACATGAACACGGTGACACATAAATGTGCTGACTTGCTAAGACCACCACCAGTTGTATGTATAAATACCGTTTAGTGTTTGGACATAGCCCGCACGCACGGATGTCCGGGCGAATGGGATATGAAGGCGGAGGAGGACCACCGTCCGAGTTTGCAGGGAGGAGAGAGATATGCCTTGAATGGCTGCACCTGTCTGAACGAAAGCCCTGATATGCTATTAGACGCCACCACCAGTTATATGCATATTTACCATAGGTAAACTGAAGAGATCTTGATTGGCGGCACGAGCCGATGTCCGGGTGAAGAGGGAGATGTAGACGATATAATGCCCGAGAGCTGTTAGCTTGAGTACGGTGATGCATGAATATCGTAACCTGGCTTACCACGAGCCAAGTGAGCATGAACCCGAGAATATGAATGAAGTGCAGGATGCACGCAGCAAAGACGTACACTTAGTTAAATACTGAGACATGACCCATGATATAGTATATCTTAATTAGCGTTAAGTATGCCGGGATGAGTCATAGATGCTGATGAGCTGATTGAGTGATTAAGACTGTCTTCTATCATCTGAAGTGAGGATGATGGAGGGACGCTAGTGTTAGATCCAGCAAGTGTGATAATAAATGTGTAGCAATAGTGGAAATCTGAGTGTGCCGCTATGCGAATGATCTCATGCAGATATCCCCCCAAAAACGGAGGATGTGCAGTGCACGTCCTTAAGTCGGGGAAAAACACGGTCGTCGTGAGGCCGACGGATGCCACGTCCAGGAAACGGGAGATGATGCGTGCCGAAGAATCCGCATGCAAAGTACGGTTGCCCGGTGAGGAAGAGCAACTGTCGTTGAAGACATTTATGTGGATGCACGCAGTTGGTTAGAGGAACGTTAATACCATGAGCTTGATGTGATGGCTAGGAACTCGGTGTGAGACTGGGCCTGTAGTTCCTCATGATTAGGAACGCTGTGCTCCTGGAGGAGTCTCTTCTTGCTTCTTCTTCTCTCTTCTTGTTTCTTCTTCTCTTTTCCCAGTTGAGCGGAGTTGTAGTTTAGTAATGTTGTATTTGAACACTAGATGCGTGAAGGCAACGGATTAGGAGATCTCCCTGAGCAGTGGGTGATTTGAACTGGGGAGAGACGCTATTAATTATTTACCGAATAGCCGGTGCACGCGTAGTTTCTCCTACTTGACTTAAGGCTGAAAGAGTTCCGCTGAACGATGATGGGAACTTTAAAGCGCGTCGTAATATCTGCTTTGAAGAGCCAGCCTTGGCCTGCACGCTATTAGATACATTATCTCCGTGCGTAGAAAGGGGGGAACATGACCTTGTCATCGAGATTGCCCTGAGCATTTACCGAATCGTAAAATAATCTGTCGACAGGCTGTAAACAGAAAAGCTGAAATTGAAACTAATAAATACTCAGTTACCTCTAATCATTAACCCAGTTTGTATAATGTAGTTACTCTGTGTGTTGCTGCTAGCATACATAACATCTGACGTGGAAACGTTACTCGTGAATGGGGCTACAGAGCTGCTAGAAAGACAGTGGAACCCGGTGCATTCCTTCGTCTGGATGTGGAGCACTTTTGATAAATATTTAGACAAAGTGCTCGTGTTACGCCCTTACATGATAAACACTTTGGCAACGAGCATTCTCCACATCGAAGAGGGTGAAGTTTAACCACGCCTCGGAGCGCGTTCTCTCCGCCACCTCCGCAGTGTGCTCCGCTGCATGTAGCAGCTGTGTGTGTAAACTGCCCCGCCCCCTCGCGATGGGGGAGAGAGATCTCATCTGATCGAAAATACATCATAGGCGCATTTGTTTGTCCTTTGCATATTAGAACGAGTTGTGACACTAGACTGCGATATAATGTTTTTGTAGCAATAAACATGACATATATTTATAAATGTCTCCGGTACTGATAAAAAGACCAATAACGTTGGAGCTTACGCACGTAAACACACTGCTGACGTCACAATGAATCGACGACTGAATTAGTTGCAACTAATTTGGTAATCGATTTGATCGATTAGTCGATTAGTTGTTGCACCCTTAGTCGCTGCAACTCTGACTACTTTTAAATCCAGGCTGAAAACTTTTCTTTTGTCGCTGCTTTTAATTGAACTATTCATATCTTAGACTGCACTGTACTTTGATCCATGTACTTTTTCTTTTAATGTTTAATTGATTAGCTTCCTTTTAAATGACTGATTTTAAATGCCATTTCTTAATGTCTTTCATTTTTTAAAGCAATTTGAATTGCCTTGTATTGAAAAGTGCTGTATAAATAAACTTGCCTTGCTGCCAAGGAGATGTTGTTGTCGCAGATCTAGCCGTTGGTGCACCAAGAAACGGATATTCTTAGTGGAGAAGAAAAAGAGAAAAACCGATCATTTAGTCAATAATCATTAAATTAATATTGGGAGTGAATTCCTAATTTATTTAGTATCTGGTCGTGTCATAAACAGGATAATGTGTGCAGCGACTGTTCATTGAGGAAAAGAAGCCCTACGAAACGCCATTCATTTCAGGAAACGCTGTGTTGAAGCTTGAACCTGCGTTAGTTACTGAGCATTGTAATGAGTAATTACCCGACTGCATTAGTAATGCAAGTAATACGTTACTGAAACTCCATACTGTAGCACGTTACCCCCAACACTGCCTGAAGCTCACCTTAACCTGACTAGAGGTAGCAATGCA